TAATCTTCAACAAAGGCGCTAAGAATATACAAAGGAGAAAGGAAAGTCTCTTCAACAAATGGTGCTGGGAAAACTGGACAGCCACATGCAAAAGAATGAAGGTAGACCATTATCTTTTGCCATACACAAAAACCAACTCAAAATGGATTGAAAACTTGAAGGTAAGATGTGAAACCATAAAACTCCTAGAAGAAAACATAGGCAGTACACTCTTTGACGTTGGTCTTAGAAGGATCTTTTTGAACACCATATCTACTTGGGCAAGGGAAACAAAAGAAAAAATAAACAAATGGGACTTCATCAGATTAAAGAGCTTCTGCAAGGCAAAGGAAACCGTGAACAAAATGAAAAGACAACCCACCAACTGGGAGAAAATATTTGCAACTCATATATCCAATAAGAGGTTAATCTCCAAAATATATAAAGAACTCATACAACTCAATAACAAAAAAACAAACAACCTGATCGAAAAATGCGTAGAGGATATGAAGAGACATTTTTCCAAAGAAGATATAAGGATGGCCAACAGGCACACGAAAAGATGTTCAACATCACTAATCATCAGAGAAATGCAAATCAAAACTACAATGAGATATCACCATACACTTGTTAGAATGGCTATAATTACCAAGACAAAAAATAACAAATGGAGAGGATGTGGAGAAAAGTGAACGTTCAAACACTGCTGGTGGGAATGCAAACTGGTACAGCCACTACGGAAAGCAATATGGAGATTCCTCAAATAATTAAAATCGAAATACCATACGACCCAGCTATTCCACCAGTGGGTATTTATCCAAAGAACTTGAAATCAACAATTCAAAGAGACTTATGCACCCCTATGTTCACTGCAGCATTATTCACAACAGCCAAGATGCAGAAGCAATCCAAGTGTCCATCGACTGATGAATGGATAAAGAAGATGTGGTGTGTATATATATACACACAATGAAATACTCCTCAGCCATAAAAAAAGACAAAATCATCCCATTTGCAACAACATGGATGGAATTGAGGGTATTATGTTAAGTGAAATAAGCCAGACAGAGAAAGACAAACACTGTATGATTTCACTTATATATGGAAGATAAACAAATACATGGACAAAGAGAACAGATAAGTGGTTACCAGAGGGGAAGGGGGTTGGGGAATGGGCATAAGGGGTAAAGGGGCACATAAATATGGTGACTGACAAATAATAATGTATAACTGAAATTTCACAATGTTATAAACTATTACGACATGAATAAAAAAATGTGCTTATAAAGTTACACGTCAGTGGTTATGTGTGCTTGTAAATTTGTGCTATTTAAATAATTTACAACATACACTATCAAAGTTATTGTATTGAAATTACTTTTTTTCTTCCATTTATAAGATTTCCATCCATCCAACACATAGTTGCTGGGTACCCACCCATATGTCAGGCTCTGTTCAAAGTGTTGGGGTTACTACAGTTTAACAAAAGCAATTCCTAAAAAGATCTTGTGACTTTATGTAGCTTTTAGTTTAGTGGATGAGTGTAAGTTTATATTTAAATAGTATAAATATGGCAGTCATATATAATGCCTCTCCAGTGTTTCAATCACTAAATTATAAGAAAATATACATATATATATCAAACTAGAAGAAAGGAATGAGTGAGGTAAGAGAATGTGGATAAGTGATTACTAGGTTTGGTATACTAGACCACAGAAATGATTAGACAACCCATAGAGGTCCTTTAAGAGGTAACATTTATAACTATTTTATCATCAGCAGAAATGAATATATTAGAAATCCCCAAATCTTTTATTTGAAAAGGGAAAGAATACTTACCCAGGGAGACCATGTTCCCAACATTCTCCTTCCTAATATCCCAGTAGAGGTCTCTGTGAGCAGGAATCTGATGCACACTCTTTTTGTAGGGAAAACCTCTCGTCATGTGGACATCTTTCACTGGTCCCTGTAATAACACTAACAGCAATGACTACCAAGATAACCACATGGGTCTTTGAAGGATGAACGATCATGGATGAAGCATAGACATAGAATTAAAATCAAGGAACCAAGTGTATGTTATGGGCCAAATGAGGCAGGAGATACTATAAAGAATCATAAGAGAGATGATCCAGCAAGGAGTCCCATTACTCAGAAGGCTGAGTTCAGTCTTTTCTGGAAAAGGAACAATGGGAAGAAGTCTCTTGGAGGGAGTATACAAGTTTGAGGATAGTGAAGGTGCAGGAAATCTTTGTGACTGAACACCCTAGGAAGGAAGGCCAGAGAGAACAATTACAACTTACCTGGGACCCAACAGGAAGACATGTGGTTGTTACTTCCTGATCTATAGTATTCCATTCATCAGCAGGGGCAGGAACCGAGGGAGAAGGCCGAGCTACAAGAAGAGCAAGAAACAATTTAGTGTTCTGGGAACTGGCCCTTTAATTCATGCTGCTTCTCCTTTTAAGAAATGAACATGTATAAAAAACCAACAAATATAAATTGATCATTTTCTCATTGAGTTCAGAACAATGCCCCAAATCACGGTACCCTAAAGCAGGGCTCACAAACGCAAATGCTTGCAGGGAGTGAGCAGGTAAAGCACAGCATGAAAGGGGCCAGGTAAGGCCTGTGGGGAACTGGAGAGCACATGTCTCACTGAAAGAGCACAGCCAGTGCCCAGCTCCAGCTGATGCTGCACTGTGAGACTATGCCCCTGCTATACCCAGAGCTCCTAAGTTTTTCAAGAGAAGCTAGAAATCTGGATTTTTATGTAAAATATCAAAAGATTTTAAACCTTGAGAACTAAAAAAAAAAAAACAAATAAAACTCTAAAACCAAAAACTCTTTGTAGGTGAAACAAAACAAGTGTAGCCTGACGTGAGTTACCAGTCTGTGATCTCCAGTGTAAGTTAATTCCCTGTGAGTGAATACTATCCTAAAGAAGTTAGCATACACAGATACACAGTACCGGACACTACAGGCAAATACACGCCTTGAAAGATGGAAGGAAGATATATAAATTTATATACAGCACAATCTGTGGTCTAACTTCCACTCTAGAACTCACTATCTAGGGAAAACTTCAAGAATAAATATTACTGTGACCAAGAACTCAAAAGCTTGCTCCACTACTTTCTACAGAAGCAAATCGAATCACTTCCTTGGAAACATATTATTCCCTGAGGCACATATGGCTGAAATCACAGGTCTTCCTTTAGAATGAATTCATCTTTCTGTGATATCTATACCTCAAATTTTCTGTCTTCCACACCCCAGTAAGTACCTCAACAGAACAAACTTTTCCACTTAAGGAACTCCTTATCACTCCAGGACGGCAAAACCCAAAAATACCATGAATTTATCGGACTAAGCTTATCAGTTAAAGTAACTGAGAGCATCCAATTCTTGTGAACAAGGAAACTTTGATGCTGATGAACACACACTGAATAATTCAGAAACCATTAATATTTGCAATGTATTCTATCATAATATGAACTTGAGGAGGGATAAGGAGGTGGGGTATGGTAGTAGTGAATCTTGCCTCTTGGTGAGGGGTTATGTAAGTCAGACAGATTTGAAGTTTAAAAATAACTGTGCCATTATGGAAGAAAGGAAACTAACGTTTATTGAGCGCTATAATGCACTGGCCCTTTTACATTGCCTCATTTAATCTACACTAACAACCTTATTTTCCTTTTACAGATGAGAAAATGGAAAGTTTGAGAAGTTACATAACCTGACCAAGGCCACACAGATAATGAACGGCAGAGCTAGGTTTCAAACCCAGGCTGTCCGCCTCTAAAGGTTAATCTCCTAACCTCTATGCATTAATGCTCCTTTTCATATCACTTGCCCAAGACCACATAGAGAGGGGGCAAAGACAGGGTAGAAACCCAGGCCTTTTTACTGTAGATTCAGGATCTTTCTATTCCTCTCTTTAAACCCAACACCAGACTGCAGGGGATGGAGAGATCACACAGGACTGGGAAGGACAGGGGATTCATTTCCTTGCTTTTGACTTGATTCATTAATGCCGAGGGTAGCTTTGAACACCAATGGTCCTTTCTCTATGAAGTCTTACTGTTTATCCCCCTCATATGCAACTTCTGTGATGCCTTACCTGTGATCTTGAGTTTTTGAAAATAAAAGTCTTATGTTCCTTTCCAAACAGGTTTTTCAAGTTGTTTATAGTCAGCCAAGAACACATACACATACATACATGGCAGGACTAAAAAACACAACCCAATAACGCTACAAGACTTCAAGGCCAGCTTGGGCAATCTAAGTTTTCCCAGATTCCATCTTTTAAGATCTTATTTATTTATTTTTTTGTGAGGAAGATCGACTCTGAGCTAACATCCATTGCCAACCTTCCTCTTTTTTTTTTTTTTTTTTTGCTGAGGAAGATTAGCCCTGAGCTAACATCTGTGCCCATCTTCCTCTATTTTGTATAGGGGACGCCACCACAGCACGGCCTGATGAGTGGTGCGTGGGTCCATGCCTGGGATCCGAACCTGCGAACCCTGGGCTGCTGAAGCAGAGCATGCAAACTTAACCACTATGCCACCAGGCTGGCCCCAAGATCCCTTTTATTTACGTCACATAGTCCCAACTCTTGAAGCCAACAAAGTCTTTCTCCCCAAATAGTTAATTTATTATTAATATGTATGGCGGTAACCCTACTCTGAGCAAGTCAGTGTTAGGGCTACAAAATAAACCTGCCATGGTGTCTGCACTGGGCATGCTCTGAGTTCTTCTCCTTACCATTCCTGGGTAAGGGTCGATGCTCTCTCTTTTGGTTCAGTTGCTCCTGGTGTCCTGAGTGGAGGCTTCTAGCTTCCTCTTGAGACACCACTCTGGGCTGGGTCTCCACCTGCTCTGGCTGAAAGTCTGCTACCTCCCATGCTGCTCCGAGTGGGGCTTGCTTCTCTGAATGCACAGGACTGTTAACCTGGGAAATAAACTCAATGCCATAATGGAAAGAGGGAGGAAAAGAGGGCCAGATCAGGGCCAAGTTCCCCCAAGAAAGATATCAAAGAAGGAAAGAAGATGTGAAAAGGAATAAAAATTTCACTCCATTCCCAGTGGAGTCTCTGAGGGTGTTGGGTTAATAGTACTGTCCAGAAATCTGGACATAAGGGAACAAGAGAGTGCTCTTTACTAATATACCTGGAATAAAATCTGTCAAGAGTGAGATACAGAGCCGCCGTTATTAGAATAGTCATTATTTGAGTCATCACAAGTATTAGCTTCACAAAGAACTAAAAGTTATCCGAATACAAATAAATTCACTAGTAAACTGGAAACTTACAAAATTAATCTCCACATCTAGTGTCTATCCCTGACCAACACAGCAACCTGCTGATAGTCAAATTCTGTGCAAATAAATGCAAATTCTGTGCCAGGTGAAACTGCAAATCTTGCAGGATTTCATGAGGTTAATGAAAGGGCTGTTGAAAAACAACTAGAAGAGCACGCAAAGCCACCGACAAATGAAGATCAGCAGTTAAACTGGAGAAGAGTGACAAGGATGATGGCTTTGAGGGCACTTCGGAAGACACGATTGTAATATTAAAGGATTAGAGAGGGCTCTGGGATAACTGACCAGGTCCTTTCTTTTGGGGGGGGGGGGCAGAATCGCCCTCTTTAGGATCAAGCTGCAGAAGTCAAACCCTGTGAACTACAATTATTGTTTTCTCATAATTTGGGGGGGGAACATTATGCCAACCATTTAAAACAAATACTTAGGTGCATAACGTTTCATTTCATTTGCAAGATAATATTTCAACCAAAGCTTTTCTTTTTCTATTTAAAAGAAATTCTGATCCCTTTTAAGTGGATTCACTTTAAAGGTCTTTCATTAGTACCATTTATCTTTCCATAATGAACACTTTCCACAATGCATCCCTGCCTCTATGCCTTTCCCACCCTCTTCTTGCTAACTATGAAAATTTGGAAAACCGTCTCTCACCTGCTGTCTCAGTCTTCCAGTCTCTTTCTCCAAATGTATTACCAGGGCCACCGCCTCTTCTCCACTTTCCGGACACTGCTTCTGTGCCCACGCCTGAATCTTCTGGGGTAAAATGGTGAGAAACTGCTCGATCACCAGCAGCTCAAGGATCTGCTCCTTGGAACGCATTTCTGGCTTCAGCCACCGGCAGCAAAGTTCCCAGAGTTTACTGAAAGCTTCATGGGGTCCGGTCACATCCGTATAACAGAACTGCCTGAAGCATCTGCGAAAGGTCTCAGACTCAGAGCTATCCGATCCTTCCAGAATGGGCTCCGATGCCCACTCGGGGGCCTTTTCCACCTTCATTATTAGGCATCCCTCAACCTCCAGGGGCGCGTCGATGTGAGGGTCCAGGGATGCAGCCATGCTCCAACCCAGGGCTCAACCTCACGTCTAGCTCAAAGTAGACTCAAACAGACCAAACCTCCGAGAGCCACCTGCTTAACAGTTGTGGAAGTGCGGGAAGGTAGACAGGAAAAACGGCAGTGTCAGGAGAACAGGGTACTCCAGGCTGATTAATCTAATCTATCCTAGGCCCTTGAACAGGTGCCTGTGTACCAAGGTCCCCAAACTCGGCCTCTTCTCCAAACAAGAAGTGTCTCCGCGATGTGGTTTTCCAGGGTGCATCTCTTTTAGCGCAATGTCGGAAACAGCAAGGGGGAAAATCCCGTGGACTGAGCGAAGGATGGGCGGGGGTGGACAACCGGCCGGGAGGGGGTGTGTCAGATACCCTCGGGTCGGGCTCCCGCGAGGCGAGGCCTCGAGTGGGTGGGGCCGGAAGTGCAGACCCCGCCCGGTGCCGGGTTCCAGACTCGAGGCCGGCGGCGCGCCCGGGCCGCCGCGCGTGGCCGATGAGGGCCGGCGGTCTTCGGGGCCAGCGCCGGGCTCTTCCGGGTCCCAGGAAGGCGGCAATAAACCTCCGCACGCCGAGGAAAAGCCGCGACGCGGTTCCACCCCTGAGGGGAGAGAAGACGCGGGGACGAAGCAGGGCCTCTCACGGAGCACTGCCGGTTTCTCGCGCGCGGCCGCGGACTGCGCGGGGGGCGCTGGGAGCCGCGGCCACGCATGCGCCGCCCGCAACGGCGCGCCGCGGGGTGGAAGGGAAGCTTTCTAGCCGGCGAGGGCCTGGGAGGAGGGGGTTGTGTCGTGGACTCTCGCGAGAGCGCGCAGCGCAGTGACTTGCAGCTGTGGGACTGTAGGAATGACGAGGAGCGGAGAGGATGTTCCCCGAGGGGGAGGGACGCAGCGAGACCCGAGTAGACATTTTGCCGGAGACAGTGGAACAGTATGAGAAAGGGCAGTGGGAGTCGTCCTCAGCCTGGGGAATCTGGGAGGCGGGGAGACCTCTCTGAGGTGGAGGAGCACTACTGGGGACGCGGCGCAGAGCCCTTTCTTCCGCGGAAGTTGGGGCGGGGAGCGGGGACTCCTTTGCCTGGCGGAGGGACTCAGTCGCGTGCTGGCGGGCATTCTGCAGGCGGCGACCTTCGGCGGGACTCGCTTCTCTGGCAGAGGGACAGGGAGATGGCGCTGATCTTTCCCCTGCGGGAGCACCTGTGAATGGCCCCATCCGTTCCCCGAGAGGCAGAACCCGCCTCTTCGCTTTGCGGGTTCTTACTGCCCCGGGCTCTGGGGCCGTTGGTGCGGCTAAGCGTCACCGGAGGGGATCTCTGGCCCGGAGTCCACCGACCGGGCCCCAGCTGCCTCCCTCCTGGTGGTGCCGGGAGGAGCTGTCCACGTCTGCCAGCCGCTGGGCAACCCCAGAACTACTTCGCCCGCCCGCGCATCCGTCCGTCCCTTTGTTGATGAGGTGCCAGGCAGTGTTTTAGGCACTTGGCTACGTCAGTGGGCAAAACAAAAATTCGTGCTCTACGGGGGTGGATGGCCTATTTGAAAACAAAGCTTAGTGAGTTTTTTTCCTCGGGGAAAGTCTTAGTTTAAACTTGACGTGCAAATTCTAGCAGTCCAGAGGCTAGGCTGTGTTTAATACCTGTTTCCATAGCAGGCGTTAGGTGAGGGAGAGTCAGAGAGAATCTGCTGGACTCCTAGGGTATGCCAGGGGTTGTCTTTACACAGCGTACTTTTCTATCTTTCGTTTCTTTTTTCTCTTTAATGTTTTCTGATCACCTATGTTACGCCAGGCATGGTGATAGGTGATGAGCAAAAACAGGGTCCACTGCTGAGCTTTTAGTCTGGTGGGAGAGGCAGGCATTAATCAAATAACCCACAGACTAATGTACAGTTGTAACTGCGCGGGTACTACCAAGAAGAGGAACATGGAGCTGAGAATCGATGTGTATTAGAGGGTTTTGACCTAGTCAGGGGGTCTGGGAGGGTTTCTTTGAAGAAATAAAGCTAGGAGTGTGATCCAAAGGAGGAGTAAGAGCTGATTAGGCAAAGTTTAGTCCTCACAGAAATCCCATAAAGCAGATGGGAATACCTCGACTCTAAAGGACATTGAGATCTCAGTGAGATGATGTAACTGCCCAATGTTATTTCAAATTAAGTGGCAACCCAGGGTTCAGATTCAACTAAGAATAGTCTTTTATATGTCCCTTGGGCTATTTGGTGGCTTTAGGAGAGGCAAGTGTCACAAGCAGCTCAGGGACATCAGAGAGCAGGGATCACAAACTCCAAAGCCTGCAGGGCTCAGGTAGATAACATAAATGAGGGAAGTATGAGACAAGAGGGAATGGTGGGGACTGCAGCAAACTGGAGGCCACATTTTCTGTCTAAATGAAACAGCCAGGTAAAATTACCACTCTTAAATAATTGGCAAATACATTTATCTGTCTCCCACACTAGTCCTGCTCAATGAAGCAGGACTTTTTTTTTTTTTTAACGATGTGTGCCAGTGGTTACCTCAGTGACACACACACAGTAGGCACTCAGCCTCATCTGTTGTCCATAGCCTCTGAGCATTTCCCGTGTATGCACAGTTTCACAGATTTTGAAGCACTATCACATTCATTTTCTTATTTTATCCACCAGCCTCTCTGTTGGCTCCTTATTTGCTTCCGACATGGCTGCTTCGTCAAAAGCCCTTCACAGCCCCCACCCCCAAGGCCATATTTAGGTGTGTCTTCCTATTGTATCTTTCCACCCTTTTCATATTTTAGCTCATCTCCATCCTAGTGTGCTTGGCATCATGTCTTGGTTCCCTCTACTTACCTAGCCCATTTTATATTTAAACAATGTTTTTTGTTGTTGTTGTTTTGGTTCTGACCTAGAGCTTTAGCTATTGACCTTGGGCCCACCATCACAACCAGGCAACCCCTCCCTACAGTCAGCCCCAACTCCTGCAACTCCAAGCTGCCCCCAGCTGCTGCTTGTCAGGGGAGGTGCATTAAAGAATTCATTTCTTAGAAACTGCTTTCCTGAGACATCTTGGTCCAGAAGAAAGTGACCATCCCTAGATATCTGAATTCTCTATGCCATTACATGGACCTGAGCAAGACAGAATCTCAAATCTGCATGGGACAGTTATAGCTTAGCCTCCTTAAAGCTCTTCTTGGAGCAGAGGGTACTAGAGCTTGCTCTTCATTATCTCTTAGGTGCAGGATCATAAGATCTTCAGGAATCATTGTTATATTTTGGTGGCTTCTCAGTAGCGCGCGCACACACGGCTATATGTATATTTCAGTGGAAAAATTTCATACATATAAAAAAGTAGAATTGATTCTCACGTTCTCATCCTCCAGCTTTAACAGTTAGCAACTCATGTTCAGTCTTGTCTTTCCTATACCTCTAATGACTCACCTGATCCTGGATTATTTTGAAGCAAATCCCAGACATCATATTATTTCATTTGTAACTATCAGAATGTATTGCTAAAAGACAGGGCCTCCCATTTTAAACATAACTTCAATGTAACCATAAGTCCTTCCCAATAGCATCAACAATTCCTTAGTATCATCTTTTTAAAACAGCTTATTTGTTTGAAAGGTGTTTTGCAAAGGAAAAAAGGGTCATAAGTGCTGGACAGGTAACAAAGAACAAATGTGCTCCACATTTTCTAGTTAGGTGTTTACATTTACTTCAGCATGAAAAGTTGGCACCTTGGGAACAGAAAGGCAGATTGTCAAAAAAGTAGTGAATTAATATAGGTCAATAAACGAAGCAGATCATGCATGATCTGAGACATCTTGGAGGAATGACTATTTTCTTAAGACGGTATCCTCTGAGTTGACCCAAATCCAGAGGCACTCTCTTCCCATGATCCCCAGAGAAACAATCACACCAGTCTTTCCTTGGTAGTATGTCTGATATCATCGCTGTCGTTTTACAAGCAGCCTCAGAGCGACTTTTCCCCCCCACAGCATTCCTCTGTCCATGGTGCTGATCCACCAGTCCTTTAGTCAGCAACCCAAGGAGCTATAACTTGCTTTTGGCCAAATAGGATTTACTGTAGAGTTACCATGAAAGTGAACATTAAATATACATTAAATAGTTCCAAGAAGTGCTATCTATGCCTATGCTAGGTTAACAAAATCCAAGCTGGAGAATTTCCTAGCACTGCCGGTCACCTCTTAATTTATGTCCTGAAAATTAATCCATTTCTTTAAAAATTGAAAATTGGAAGTGAAAAGGTTGAGTATGTGTGTATTGGTGTGTCTATTTTGGACGTAGTATAAATATTTTCAAATATTATTTCTTAACCAAGCTATAACTAATTGAAATAAATTTCAATTTCACAAATCAGAAATCACCTCTCCCGGGCCGGCCCCGTGGCTTAGCGGTTAAGTGCGTGCGCTCCGATGCAGGCGGCCCGGGTTCGGATCCCGGGCGCGCACAGACGCGCTGCTTCTCCAGCCATGCTGAGGCCACATCCCACATACAGCAACTAGAAGAATGTGCAGCTATGACAGACAACTATCTACTGGGGCTTTGGGGGGAAAATAAATAAATAAAATTATAAAAAAAAAAAAAAAAGAAATCACCTCTCCCACTGGTTCACTAATGATAGTCAGATAGCTGGCAGAAAGACAACCATTAAAATGTTCCAGTTTCTTTCACTCCATTGGGCAGTACAATAATGAAAAATTCTCAACTATTTCCTGATATACATGTATAGCAGTCAACAATATTTTGCTGCATATCTCTGTATGAGGCATCATGCTAGGCACTAGTGGGATAGATAGATACATAAGACATAGCCCTTTTACTCAAAGTATTAACAGTAAAATGGGGGAAATTAGTCATAGAATTGTCATGTGTTAGAATAAATGTGGTAGAGGTATTCATAAAGATCTGTGACAGTACAGAGTAATTGCCCCTCTGGCTACCAGGAAAAGCTTCATAGAGGGAATCTTGAAGGATGTTTAGCAGAAGTGGAAAGAAAGACATTCCAAAGATAAGTAATAATCATGATCATGAGTGGTATTTTCAAGCAATAGTAAGAAGTTGAATGCGCCATGAACTTAGTATGAGGGAAGGAAGTGGTGGAAGATAAAGTTGTGTGCACAAGTTGGAGAGAATTTGGACTTTTTATGATGAAGGCAGTGGAAAGTGTGCCCATTGCTGTAGGAAAGTGAGGGCATCTCTCTGTTTCTGGGAGAAAGAGTCTCTCTCTCATATAGACTCCTGGGCTAGAGCCACTATGGAAGTAGTATGTTGAGAGAGTACTTAGCATACAGGGATTTGAGGAAGATGATTTCTAGAGTCTATTAATTTTTCTATTCATCCACCTATCTGTTAAACACATATATAGAAGCTAATTATGTTTCAGGTGAAGCATTGAATACTGAAGACACAGTATTGTGTCTGTCAGTGATGAAAGATAGACTTGATTCCTGCCCTTAAGGAGCTTACATTCTAGTGGAAATTGGAGAAGGAGACAAATAATATACAAGTAAGCATACAAATAAACAGGATAATTCCAGGTTGCAAATACTAA